TTTTTAAAATTAACCAAGCAAGAGATATGAGCCAAATTATAATTTTAACATAACCCACAGACCAATAAAAATAAAACAAAAAACAAAAAAAAAACTAAAAGAATCGAATTATTTTTTTTTTAAATAATTTTTGACGTCCCCATTATATAAGTTGCGTTACGATTGTAAAGTAAACTAATAAAATAATCTGAATTTTTGAGCATAAAACTATTTTCTGTCACGCTCCAGTGATTCGAATTATTTTAACCACTTATTTTGTAGTATGCCTTCATGTAAATTTAAATATTTATGTACATAATCATATAAATACATTTACTTATAAATATACTAAAAATAAACGCTAAATTCGAGTAAAATTAGAAATTGAAGGAAAATTTGATTTTATTTGTAAATTTGAATGAAATGTTTTTGTTAAATGAAACTAATTTTAAATATACGAGTGATATTAATATAAAGGTTTTGTACATCAAGAAGAAGGTGAGCTTCATATTTCAAAACCTTGAAAAGCAAGTAAGCTTCTCTATTCAGAGGAAGGTTATTTGTAAATAATAAAATTTAGTTTCAACAATTTTTGGTTCCAAACAAAACTACGAAGTTTTTCTTCTAATGTTTCTAATAAATCGAAAATGCTTTTAAAAATTATATCATTAAATTAATTGATAGTTATCGAATTTTGATTCCTTTAATTAGAAAAAGACAGAAAAAATTAACTGTATTACAGTGCGTATGTGGCCCACTAAATGTATGTGTTTTAATGAATCTTTATTCAACGTATACGTTTTTCGATGTAAAAGAAATTTCTTTTACTTAGAATTTTAAAATAATTTTATCGAAATTATTTTCTTGGTCGAATTTTTTTTGGTAATTATGAGGATAATGAATAAAAATATTAATTGATTGTTTTCTATAATTAAAATTACATTGCAAAATTTTACTTAGTCAAGGATTCATTGCGATTGAATCTTAAACTTATTAACTTGCTCAACAAAGTACCAAATTAGAAAAAGAATTTGTTAATCTATATGTGTATGTAATTGATTTACTTAAATAAAGTATTAAATATTAGAATTCTTACATATTTTTATAATTCAGTATAAATTATTGTGTTTGAAGTAGTCTTTTAAACGAAATTTGAATTTTGAATAAATTTTTTCGTTACAATGCCGCCAGTTACACGGTCAGAAGGGTTTTCCAAAACTGCAATCGATATACTGGATGGTTAGCACTTTGGCAGATTACAAACGTGAAAGTGATTGCTCATAAAACAGCATTCTCAAATATCATTTACAGATTAAAAATTTGGAAATGTTAGGGCCCCATTTTTTGGCGATGTAATAAATTAGGGTAAAACGTAAATTGAATTGATTTGGTGTTGTTGATTGTAAAGAATCACGCATGAAATTTTGAAAATAAAAAATCCTGTTTGGTGAAAATTCGGCGGACTTTTTTTTTTTAAATTTGTGCATAATTATGTTGTTCTTTTATTAAAGTGGGATATTTAATATCAAATTCATATAGGCATACCATACAAATTTCTAAGACATCGTATTATTCCAAAAATAATTTTTTCTAAATAGGTATGTACATATGTATGTATATAGTCAAATAAAAATAATATTATTATGTTTTTGATATGCTAAACAGCACTTGAGTAAACTTTTACGTCAACTAAAAAAATTATTTGTAGTGCATATATGGTTGAATCCAATTTAGTAAAACGGAAATAAAAGATGGAAAATACATAAAAATTACAGTTTTCTTGCATCATCATGCATTTAACAAAAGAGAAGCCTAAAGCGTGTTCAATTAAATAAAATGCGTATATTTATGTAATGTGGGTGCGTTTAGACGCCCATTTTCAAAAGATGATTACAGTTTTTTTCTCTTTTGTATACTTGGAACTTTTCAATACCCGCATAGAATTTCTATTTACTTTTTATATTTACATACGTTAATATATATACTACGTAACATTTCAATATTTGCAGGCATTAATATGCACATACATACATACTTTCATGTCTTTCTATTATGATACATAATGTCAATAAAAAAACATACATACATATGTTCATAATTGCGTTGAAACTCTTGAAAATGTCATATAGGAATTTCAAATGAAAATAAAATGTGAATTAAAAATAATTCAATATTAAATGAAATAAAATGTGCTTATAAGTATGTCAATTGGCAATTAAAAATTTGAAATAAGTGTAATAATCACCCATTTTTAAATATAGTAAGTCTAAATGTACGTAAGTATATGGTGCATATATCAATACACTGGTATCAATATAATATGTCTCCATATGTATAGCAACTGTTTTTATTTAAGTATTTAATGAAAATTGAAATTTAATACGATTACTTTTATTATGTTACTCTGCATTATTAGTAAAAATTGTAAGTGATTTCATTTTACAGAATAATTATATTTGAATTATAATGGATATTTTAGGTAAATGTGATTTGATCGGTTGTCAAATAATTTGCTAAGTGATAATAAAAAAGTGATAAGTGGTGTGACAAGGAATAAAGATTTAATATTTAAATCTTATTCAATAAAAATTTTCCAAACATTTTCATCTACATATTTCATTTATTGTCCAGGAAAAGTACTTCATGAGTTTTTCACAACATCACATCCAAGATATTTTAAAGCCCATAACTTCTTATTAATGATAAATTTCATTACAAATTTAGTAATTGGATTAACAACAACTTCTTAGTTTTAAAGTATTTTATTTATAGGGAATTAAATACCGGGGAGGATAATAGTTTTAATTGACAGACTTCATTAAATGGACGTATAAACAGCAGAAATCTGGCGTTTTAATAATATTTCAATTATTATAGATGTAAGTGGAAACACTTCATAAAAGAAAGAGTGCCTTTAACAATACTGTGAGTCCCTTTAACATTATGATTTCAGTTTTTCTAGCAAGAATAACTGAATTATACTTCTTTGTCAGTTTATTCTTTGGTGTTTGTTACGTCTCAATATTTCTGCAAATGTTTCAATTCTTGCCATTTTTAAAATAAGCAATTTTTTCCCCATACTTTGTATATGTATAGGTATTTTCATTTTATTTTATAATGCGTTTATTTTTAAGCTTTTTCATTGTGACACCTATCTGCCTATACTATATATGTATATATAAGTTTGCAGAGAATTTTTAAATATTCTCATTCTACACAACTTTTGTCTAATAAATGATATTTTCTCTTGGTAACATACGTATGTATGTATGAATATACATAATATGTAAATTTTTTAAATATGTAAATCGTAAAAAGAACACAAGACTTTTTAATAATTTTAATATTATTTTATGAATCACATATTATTAATTTTTCCAAAAGCAGTGATATAACGCTTTTAAATATTTTAAATACATTTTGCAGCATATATGTAAGCGTGTATATGCATATTTACATGAATAAATAATAAATATTTATAAATATCTTTATAGTAGCATATTTTTATCAGAATGTGTACCCATATGCATACATACGTATGTGTATAAAATTTGAGTGAAAATATTTTTCTTGTAGATATCATAATTCAAAGCAACAATTTAAATTCGAACAAAAAATGAACAGGTAACTCAAAGATAATCTTTAATTTTAACGTGTTAATTAATGAGAAAATAAAAAGAGAGTTGAGAAACTAGAACCTAATAAAACCTAATAAAACAAAATCAACTCATTCACCAACACTATCTAGTCAATATAATTTGAGTATAAAATTCTGTTTTAGTATGAAATATGTAGCAGTTCACAATAATGTTTGATTCAGTTGAAGTGTGTGCGTTTGTTATATTATGTCAAACCTTTTAGCTCGTTTTCCTTTTAAATTCACTCATAATTTTCCTGCTTTGCTTATTTTTTTTTACAACGGAATCTCTCGCATTTAATTTTTTTTCTTAGTATTGTTGCCATTTATGTATAATTTTTTTGTTGCTAGTGTTTTTTATTCTCATTATTATTGTCATTATTGCTGTTCCTCTTTTTTCTTATTTACTTATTTGCTTGCATTGCCAATGTTTAGTGTTGCTGCTACTTGCCGCACAATAATCAACTGCCACTCATTTTCACTGAGTTATAAGTTATAAGACCTGTTAGTTGCTTGATGTTTAACCACTACTGTTCCGTTTTTCAGTTATTTTTTTCTATTTTATGTTTTCTTTTTGTTTTGCCTTCTTTTGTATTGAATCGAAACTAAACTTTCGTTGGTTGGGTTTTTCGATGTGCTTTTTGTTTTATTTTTAAGCGCATACGTCGTTTCGTTTCTTTTGTTTTGTTTCTATTTCTGCTTTATTTATTTAGTTTTTTTTTTAATGTTAAAAATGATAATTATATGAAAAAAGGCTATACATATTTTATGTGAACGGAATAATTATAGATACATATATGCACACACAAACATATGTACACGTACGTCTGAAAGAAAGATTAGTAAAATAAAAAATAATAATAAAAGACAAGGAACGGCAACAGTGCAAAGAAGGGTGTCAGTACGGTAACGGTGTGGCGGCGGGGTCTAACATTGTTTAAGTAAACGGTTTAGTTTTAGTTTAACATTTGATGTTTACGTGTGTGCATCATCGGTGAAACTTTTTTGCAAAAGAGAAGAAAACAGAAAATTTTTTTGTAAAAAAAAAACAAAAATAAAATTGAAATAAGCAAGCGAAAAAAAAAATTATTTTTATTTGGTGTTTTTGTGTTTTTCTTTTTTTTTAAATTTGTTTTGCATTGTTTTTTGTGTCTCTTTCTTGCTACATGGTTTTTATTATTATATTTGTTATTTTTGTTAATTTGTCATCACACTTCTAAAATATTTTAAAATCCAATACTTTTATTGTTCCGTTTTATGTTTACTTTCGTTTTTTTTATTTTGTTTTTATTTGTCGTTGTTTTTTATTGATTTTTAATTTATTTATCTGTGATTTTTATATTCAAAAAACCCACCTATTAATTAATTATCGAAAATATTAAAATCAGAAATAATGTTACTCGGTAAAATTAAATAAAAAGTATAAATGTTTGTTCTGTCTCAATATGCAAAAGAAAATAATTAAAAAAGATCGAAAATGATTAAGAAAAAAAAGAATAAAGAAACAAACGAAAACTTTGTAATTTATTGAATAATCGCAATTAAATCGGGGTTTAGACGAAAGAACATACAACACAACAAGAGAAAAAAAAGTGAGTACACTATAAGCACTACTTTTAACCACACTAATAATTTATGAGAATAAAATGTCGTTTTAATAACTCGTTCTTCATCGATCAATTTAAAAAGTGTAAATATCTAATTTTCCAATTTCAAATGCCGTTTTAATATTTTTAAATATATAAAAAGTAAAAACTTTTATTAACAACAAAGTACAAAAATTTATTAATAATACAAGAAGAAGTAAACGATAAAGAATTGTTTTGGTTGATTTGTCATGTTGATTGGATCTAGTATTGGTAGCGAATTTGGACCGTTACCAACAACGCCTTGGAGTATGGAACCACCACGACCACCGATTGTTGGTGGCGGTTCAATACCACCACCACCGCCACCTTCATTGCCCTTATCTCCAACAGGTGAGTGAGCAAAGCTGTATATGCTTTTTTTAAATTTATATACTTAGGTATTACATTTGATTGTCGTATATTTATGCAATGCAAAACCTTTGTATGTATTCACATTTAAATTTGTCCTTACATCAAAAAGGTAATAGCCGACGGCATAACTTTTTTCCATTTAATTTTTTTTCCTGATATTCATTTATAACATAAGTGAACTCGCTATTTTCTATCAATCAAGACGACTAAAATAAAAAAGTTATGAAAGTAGGAAACATGCATGTTTAAAACATTTTATAAATTTAAGTAATAAAAATGAAAATTATATTATATTATATAATATATGTATAAAGTTTTTTAAAAGAATTTGAATTTCAATTGTGATTTTGCAAAATTTAAAAATGTAATAATTGAAAAAGCCGTAAAGTATGCAATAAAGAAAAATGCGTAATCTGTATTCCTTGATGTAATCCCTTTTTTCAAATTTGAAATAATGAATATAACAGTTAGATCGATTAATGTTAAAACCTCAACTTTTATAAAATAGAAGCCTTTTCTTTATTTTTTCATAAAATTTTAATGTTATAATCACTGTAACAATCAATAGTGTTCCCGAAGAACTTTTGAAAATATAAAAATTAATGTTTGACATACAAAAGGCGAAACTCTAAGAGAAAGTAGTTAAAGTTTATAACTGAATTGAACCAAATTTTTTCTGAAACGGTGATTACTTTCATTTAGCAGAAATCAAACTTCTAAGCAGCAAAATCACAAGTAACAAAACTTGCTGGTTAAAGTGTTATCGTTTCTTCAAGGATATTTTAAAAACAATTACTGACAGTAAAAAAAAATAAATAAGATTGTTTTGAGTATATGAAAATCAACCACCTGTTGATTGTTTCTGGTAACACAATAACAAAAAACAATTTATTATGCATACGTTTTTGAAAAATTAAAGAAAAAATATTGTAAATAATGTTTTCTCATAGTAAATAGTTTCCCATTTCTACTATTTTTATAATAAATTCGGAAGAGAACGCCGAGATTTAAGAAACTATTTGTTTTTCCTTTTGTGTTTCAATCAATGTATGTATATAAAGAAATTTAATTCTAATAATTTTTTTCTTTATACAGTATTGCTTTTATTGTATAGATTTGTTAAGTAATTCAGTGAGCTTTAAATTAAAATCACTCACCTTCAAGGTGTTACTAAATATAAAATATGTATTTCATTATGACTTAGTTTCGTGTCATTTGTAACAGTTATTCACCTGGTCTTATATAAAGTAAGCGTTTGATCTGATGTCAAAAACCTGCTGTTACTGAAAACTAGTAAACAGGATTATTGGGCATCTTTTATTTGGTTTGTTCTTAGGATTTTGTCTTTTTACGGGATTATAACTTAAGTTGCACTCTTACAATATAATGTGCATATTACAGTTCTTAACAATTTAAAACTATTTCCTTTTAACTATGTTTTATTTTGATATAAAATTGTATAATAAAAGATTGAGTAAAATGTAGATGTTTGTTAAGGCGAATATAAGAAAAAAAATGTATAAGTACGAGTAAAATGTGTCGCTTTTTGGTTAAGTCTCAAATGCCAGTTGGAGAAATCCATTAAAAGTTTTTGTATTAATCAAATTTTAAATCTCAAATTAAATAATGTTTTAAATTTCTTTTTACAACTTTATGCGCACTTTTATTTGCGCGATTTTACAGTAAGAATTTGATTATAAAAAAAATGTTTTTTTTTTTTATTAAAGGAACATAATCAACTCTTAATCAATTTTTTTTATACTTCCCAACTTTATCTCTAAAATAGAATTTATAGCAACTATTTTTGTTATATTTTGCTTAACGCGAAATTAAAAATATGTTACACAATTTAATATCTGGAATAAGATAAAAGATTGTGGATGACCCTAATTGCTTTCGTTTTAATGCAAAATAATTATCTCCTTCTTTCTTTTACTCAATTTAATTAGCACTATTAAAAATTAGATCATTAAATTTTATATATAAAATCACGTTAATTGATTGGTGTAATTAAGATATTCACACCTTCCATAACTTAACGTAAGACCTAAGAAAAGTAAACTCATAAAGAAAAAACATTGAATTATAACTAAATTTACTTGTAGTGTTGTTCGTGAACACGTAGTTACAAGTACGTGTATATTTATTTTATAGTGTAAGCTTTTTAAAATAGTTAAAAAAACTGGTTATATCATTTTATTTTTCTTATCTAACTAATAAATTAAAATTATTTTTTAATTGATCTAAGCATTAGAAAAAGCTTTAACTGACAAGCATCAAAACATATAAAAAATAATTTAGTGTTGTAGCCATCCGTCACTAAAATCACTACTTGTATCGTACCTATGCATAATTTAGAATATGATTTTTTTTTTAGTTGTACTTAATATATGCAAATAAAGGAAAATCTTCATAAAATAAATACTTAGAAGATTTACTGTTTGTCTGGATTTAAAATATTGTAAACAGAAACCAGCTTTTTTCTACAACAAAGAAAAAAATAATATGATAAAACTTTAAGGATGAAACTTTTACTTAATTATTGTTAAGTAATTATCATCTTCAGAAAAACATTGAGGCAGTGAAATAATACAATCTGACCTATTCATTTGGTTTAATAAATTGAACGATTTCTTATAGATTTATAGAAAACTCCTTATAGACTTGAAAAAACAATTAGTTCAGTTAGCTTCAAGGAAAAGTTAACTGTACGTTTCAACGAGAACTAATATTTATTAATAGAATATGATTCATTTAAAAATTACACATTAAAACTCGTCTTATATCATGGGAAATTTGAAATCGAATAAATAATTTTCATGAGTAGCTATCAAATACATCAAAAAAAGATTTAAAAGGGAATAATATAATAAAATCTATAGTGAAATAATCTTACTCATTTGTAATACGAAAAGTAATTTCAATATAGTTTCAGGATAGTTTTTTAAGAAAGGACTGGCAGATGAACTGATAGATTTAGAATTAAAGACAATGGAATACTTATTTTACGGGATGAGAATGAGATCAGTGCCATTGGGGGCAATAAATCAAAATAAAATTTTTTTATACAAACGATAAAATTATTGTAGGGTGAACGAACTGCATTTTGATCAATTATTAAAAAAACGAACTCAATTTTCCTTTTAATTGTAGGTAAACATTAGGCGTTAATGTGTAGGTAAACATCATTAACGGTTAAACTGCAACAAGCTACATATTTATGTCAACCATATCGCCTAAACTTTCCTGGAAATTGGTAAATAATCTTTTAGATCATTTGACTAAATGTAAAGTTAAACAAACAAGGCAATCACATCACTTGTATAATTTTTTTCCAATATAGCATGGTGACAGTTAGACATCGGCCATCTGTATATATTGTATTTGGAAATATTTTCTCTATCTTACTAACAAAACGAAATCAAATGGGCTTTCTTTAAAATCCGCAATTTTATTACGAAATTTTTTATTCACAGATCTATTAAATTATTTTTTATTATAGTCAAATCATGAAAATATTAAAATTACCATGACGTTCCATTTCGTTTTTTTTACATAACTTAGTTACTGCTTCACAAACTTCATTTCTTTGATAAGCAACATAGATAAATTAAAAAGCAACTTGTTGAGCGATCATGGATAATCATCCATGTTCAAGTAAAACTATAATTTTCTTTTTAAGATTTTATTGAATTATATTTCAAGCAAATATTTTGAAATATAAAATAAACGAGAAAAAATAGAGTTAACCTTGTCAACTCTGTGATACCCGTACGAATTTGTTATCCTATGTGCAAATAAATATGCCATAACTGACTATGGGACAGACTATGACTTTAAGTTGCCGTATTACCATATTAATTTATGCAAAATTTCAGTACTGTGTTTTTCAAAATACTGTGTGTGCCAAATTACTACTGAAGTTGTATGGCAGCCACCAGAAAGAGCCAAGAAATTTTAACCAATTTTATCAAGCACATCGGCCCTACTGATCTATTCGCTTGCGTGAAATTTCACTACCACAGCTTTTATAGTTTCTGAGATATAGCCAAATAAATTTTGAAGCTGTATGGCAGCTACCAGAACCGGTACCCCGATCATGTCCAATTTTAATAGGGTTCTAGCACTTACTCCAATAAATCATTTGTAAAAATTTTGTGAAGTTAACTCAGAATTCGACGCTGATCAAAAACATGCACTTGAGTCTATATCTTAGACCGTTATTTCTTAGCGTTACAAACGGTAAGGAAAATTTAGTATACCCTTCGAACATACGTTCGTACGGGTATAAAAAGTCGCTGTTTCATCTGATTTATAAAGTAAATTTGGTTTTATAGTATCGCTTCGCTATACACATTTTAAATGAAGCATGAAATGTGGTGGAGGGCTATAAACCTATTTTAAATATAAGCCTCTTTGATTTTATATTTCTCTTCGTCTTTATTTATCTTATGTGAACTTAAATTTTTTTTAATTTTTATTGGAATTTTTTAATCTAATCGCGAATATTAAATTTAGATTTGTTTTAATTTAATCACACATTGAAAGTTGCACTTTTATTGTCTTGTCTTTTTAATTTATTTTTAATTTTAGTTTTTTTTATTTTTAAAATATTTTTTTAAACGATTTTTTTCTATCTTAACTATTAATCATTTGGTATTGCAAAACTTAATAACGATACGTAATAATAGTTTTTTAATTTTTATTATTTGTTTTTTTATAACTTTGTTTGAAAGTGTTTTAAAGACAGCGGATAGAAAGACTTAGTGTTTTTTTGATGAGATGAATAAATTTAAATTTGAAATTAACTTAAAAATTGTATTAATTTTTTATTTCTTTCTTTTTAGCATTTTTCCAACAAAATTTAAAAAAAATGATATTTAAATTTAATCTGTTCGTCTGTTTACGAAAGTTATTAAGATAAATAGGTGAAAATTGTTATACATACTTTTAAACCGCTGATTAGTTCTCTTAAAGAT